TTATTATACTGTATTTTTTATCCACGGTTTTTTCTTTATACTAAACAGGAAATAATTCAAAAACAGGTTTTCAGTAGATCCCAAGGATCACTTTAGGTTTTACTTCTGAGCCCACCTCACCTCTCTCTGCAGAAGTGAAATTAAGACTGAGGTCAGGGATTTGATTTGATTATTTCAAAATGTGGCACTTCCTGTTCTATAGCTAGTCTTTTGAGGCTTTAGGTTAGGTTCCTGCTGCTCTCTCTGGAATTCAGTTCTTAAACAAATGTTCTGCCACAGTATGAGTACTTTTGGAGTCAACTCAAGTTAAAATGATCTTAGTCGTAAAGTCATGGCGTAAAAGGTGGCAGGTGATGTTCATTCCTTCAAAGCCTTTAGTTAACTCTAGTAGTTTTTACATTATTCACACTTTTCTGTTGATAAAAGATTCTTCCTGTGAGCCAGAATTCTCACTCCGCTTTTAAAAGAACGAGTCACTGATGACTGAGGTTTTATAAATCATTCCCATTGGAAGATTGATTCTTTGTAATGTGAACATTCCTGTACAGTTACAAACCTTATTAATGCTTTATATCATAATCAACATATGGAGACATTGCAAGCATGAGAACTACATCAGAATACACGTGTATGTAGAGTTCTTTTATGTTGGAAAAACCAGCTGCTATGTCTGTCGCCTCCTGATTCCTTTTTATCTAAAATGTTTTGTTCTCTTCTCTATTAAAAGGAATGAAAGCTACTAATCATCGTATATGTATAACATTTGCCACATTTGTAATAAATACAGCTTCTGCGTTCAACTTATGAGACTCTGAATCATCCTATTTTACAACTTGCAGACAAGTCAACGCCTCCCTGCAGCATCAGTGGGGAACACGATTCCCCTTATTTTGCTCCTTGAGGTGGAAATGAGTCCTGCAGAGAAGTGTGACCTGAAATCTAAATCTCTGCACAAGAATGCTGCATTCATTTTATGGGAGGGTTGAATGTTTGGTCTTTGTTTATCTTATTTTTTGTAATGGGAGGCGTGATCAAAGCAGATGTCTCAGGAAGCTTCCTGTCATTCTATCCTGAGCCACAGTTCTCTGTGTGAAAGCTTGGATGTGTTTGTGTTGTTCAGAGATCAGTGATCCTCTTGATCTTTCAGCTCTGCAGGCAGCTGCTTTTGTTCTGAGGGACAAAAGATCCAGAAACAAAAACCCATAAACTCTTTAAATATGACATGATTATTTGCACTTTGAGCTTTTTTAAAAATACACCATAGAACAAAGTAGAGACATTTGTCTACTGATTCCAAATAAAAACCAAACAATAACTTGATGCAGCAAATTGTTATAAGGTTTTAAGATCTGTTGATATTCAATCAGATTTTTTTCTATTTCAATCATCAACTGAATGTCTCAGAAGTAAAGAAGGGCAGAGGTTCACTGGTCTGCAAAACGTTTGTCCAAAAAATAGTGGAATTATTTCAAAAACCATGTTCCTCAATATTAGAAAAACTTGAAATATCCCAGCATCTACAATTCACACAATTAAAAGATTTCAAGAATCTGGAGAAAAATCTGTTTAAAAGACTGAAAATTAATATTGGATGTTGATTTGATTTATTTATTTAACAGGAAAAGATTATTAAAAATCAAGCCAGACTCAGCATAATTGCTGTTTTACAGCAGGTTCCTGTTCTGCAGCTCATAAAACACTCAGAAATACAGCATCACAATCACATCATTATACACCATAGACACAAAGACAAACAAGCATACCAAATTTCAGGAAGGCAGCATTTGCAAAATAGGACATCTAAATATGAGCASAACARAAAGTGTCCAGCAGATGGCAGACAAGATTCTTCTTAAAGGGCTGTAGTTTTGAAATGGACTTTATGTTTTGAGGAATGTCATTCCATGCTTTAGTATAAACATAGAAGAAAGACCTCTGGCGTAACAGTTTTTAAAAGTTGGTAATATCASTTGTCCTTTTGTAACAGATCTAGTTGAATGACCACTTCCAGAATTTGATTTGGGCAGCATGTTTGTGAGCTTCAGCTTCTCAGGTGGAGCTGCTTTAAAAAAACAGGTCTGATTTTGTCATGGCCATCACTGCATGAACTCAGGAACACTTCCATAAATCAATGACTGTAAATACAGTACCAGGTTAAAGCTCTATCACGCAAATAAGCTGCCATGTGTGTGAACACCATCCATAAAATGCTGCTGTATTCTCTGGGCTAAAACTCATTTAAAAGAAATAGAGACGAAGGAGGGAAAACTGTTCTGTGGTCAGATGAATAAAATCACGACACCACTTCGTCCGTAAAAGAGAGACTACCTGACTCAGTTCTTTAAGTAACTTATGTTTGCTGTTTACCATTCTGAATAAAAATATGCCTTTATGAGATTTCCTCTTTGTGTTATTATTTACATTTTACACAACCTGTAATATAACCTCTTCAGTCTACATGTGTTTTGTAGACTTGGAGAAGACTTATGGTCGTGTTCCTTGAAGGATTTTTGTGGGGTGCTGCGGGAGAATGGAGTATGGGTTGCTATTAAGAGCGATCCAGTCCCTGTAGAAAGACAGCAGGAGCTGTGTATGCATTCTTGGCACAAAGTGGAGCTTATTAGTGTGGGTTGGACTCTGCCAGGGCTGTCCCTCGTCTCTGATCCTGTTTGTGGAGGGCGTCTGGTTTGGGAACAACAGGGTCTCATCTCTACTTTTTGCGGATGATGTGGTTCTGTTGGCGTCTTCAGGCCAAGACCTTCAGCGTGCACTGAGGCAATTCAAGTGGGAAGCCGCTGGGATGGGAGTCAATTCCTCTAAGCTTGAGGTCATGTTTCTCAACCGGATGACGGTGGAATGCCCTGGAAACCCTCAAATGCATCAAGTGGATGAGTTGAAGTATTTGGGTGAGTGACGGTAGGATGGAGCAGGAGAAGATTGACCGATTGGGGCCTCGTCCTCAGTAATGAGGGTGTTGCTTCAGCCAGTTGTGGTGAAGACAAAGCTGAGTCTAAAGGCAAAGCCCTTGATTTGCTTGTCTGTCTACATTCCAGCCTTCACCTATGGTCATGAGACATGTATCACGACTGAAAGAACACAATCCTGAATACAAGCAACCGATGAGCTTCCTTTGTAGGGTGGTCTGGTTCAGCCTCAGAGCTGGGGTGAGAAGCTCTGTCATCAGAGAGAGATCGAAGTAGAGTCTCTGCTTCTCTGCATGGAAAGTTGTCAGACTCAGTATCTGATTAGGATGCCTCCTGGACACCTCCCTTTAGAGGTGTTCCTGGAAAGTGTCACTGAGAACAGGGATGTCTGGGTTTCTCTCCTAGACCTGTTTCCTCGGCAACCCGACTATGGATAAATGGTAGAATATGGAGATGGAGACAATATAACAACTTTATCAGAACTACACTTGTATGATTTAGGACAAAAATGTCAATAATGACATCTGTCCGTTTTCTTCTGCTTATCCGGGGTCGGGTTGTGGGGGCACCAAGGATTTTGTTACCAATGTCATTATTGACACCTTGGTTTTACGCTTGTGTTCAATTGCTGTCAACACAGACCAAATACGATTTTTTTAACCATCAACTCACCATTATCTGCAGAAAATAAACAATAAAAAACATTTTTTGGTCAAAACCTATGAGGGACATAGAACCATGCCAAAGCCTTTCTGCAAACTGCAAGTATGCAGTCCACTTTAATGTTTCCTTCACTTTAACTCAAAAACATTTTAAAACATAAAAAATTATTTAAAAAAACAACTAAAAATTAAGAATAAAACCACACATAGTGATCATGCTGAATGACAAATGTATATTTTTATATAAAGGGAATTAATGTAGAACTACAAGACAAAACCCATAACAAAATTTAAACTATATTACAAAGCAAACAAGCAGCAGCATCTGAGCAGCTTTTGGCAAAAAGCAGAAAAAAGTCACTTGAAGTTTCTTAATACAATATATTTTATTGGGACATCAAATTTTGAGAAAAAAAACAACATTTTTCTTCATTAAAAAACAGACCACAAACTGATTATTGTCCATTAAAATAAATGCTTCTGCAGTGTGTAGGCAGCACAATAAAACCAAGAGGAGTTCAGGGGCACCAGCAGGGTTTGATTAGATTTTCAACTTGTTTTGGCAGATTCTGAACAAAGAGACTGGGAGGAGAAAAACAAGTCCATAATGTTGTAAATTACTGCAAGTACATGGGAGAAGGAAACAAATGTGCTTTTGTTCTCTTTGCAACAACAAATGACTTCTTTTGATATCTGTGGGAGACAAAGATAAACTCATTTAAATGTGGGTGTCACTGAACTCGAGTTCAATAAAAACCGTTGAATTTTTTAGTTTTGTTTTATTTCACTGCATGTTTTCTAAATCAGCTTTATTGCACCAGTATTTTTTTTGAAATTCCAGGCTAAGTACGACAATTTTCTTTTAATATTTCATGGATAAAGTGATATTTGCAAGCTGTGTTTTGAATTTTCTTGTATTTTTTCAGGCACTGTGCTCTTTTTGTTACATTGTGCTTAGTAAAAAAATCATTATAACTTAAAAAACCCATCTCAGCTGGGTAGTTTCAGCAATAATTACAGAAAAAACACATTTTGGTAGAAGAAAAACAACATTGATGCACACACAGTATGTCTGTGTTCGTATGTGTTACTTTAACTGCACAGACAATACACAAACACACACAAAAATACCCCCCCCCCCCCACACACACACACACACACACACACACACACACACACACACACACACACACACACACACACACACACACACACACACACACACACAGATGCATTGTTTGTAAAGCTGATGTCATGCATCAGCTCTGACTTTAGATTGAGTCAATGGAGTGCTGGTTGCTGAACTCTTGAAAGTCATCCGGGATGGTATCTGAAAAATAAAAGACAAAGTAGAAGGTATGAAGAAAACTGTAAACTCAGAAAGGTCCAACTTCTTCACCTCCCAGCTTTAGTCTTCATGAAACAGGATGAAACACAATTCTTTCTTAGCTTAAAAAAAGAGCACAGGTTATGGAGAAAGAGTTGCATCTCTGCATTCAGTGGATGTTTGGGACAAAAAAAAAATCCAACTAGTTCAGCTTAGTTTGTTGTGTTTTATAACACTGAAAATATAGAAAAATATTAAAAGTAGCATTACTTGAAGAAATGGTTATTGCCCACGACTTGCATGCCAGAGTTTTAAACAAACATCACATGCAATTTTTGAGTGCTCGTTATGTGTCAAGGAAGCACCTCGGCTACCAAACCAAATTTTATCTCCATGTATGTAAAATCAACTATATAATAACCAATTTTTGTGTTTCCTGAGGTCAGATTGCTGAAGTGGCTATCTTGAAGTGGGTTGGCTCCAAAATGTAATCAGTTGTAGACAGTGGTTCGAATGATTTTTTTCCTCCCTGAAGGTTTCATAAAGGTTTTTGAGATATTCTGCTAACAGACGAGCAGGGTTGATTCAGTAATGCTAAAATTTGAAGCTAAGATTTAGCTTGAAATGTCAGCTACTGTCGCACCAAATTTTTGCCTTGATATCTGTAAAAGTGGTTGACTTCTAGCAGTTTTTGCGCTAAGTTCAGTTGGCTATGACTGCCATCTTGAACAGGTGAACTTTGAAATGGAGTCTGTTGTCGATGCATTCAGTGGTTATTTTTTGAGTTTGATTCAAATCCGTACAGTGGTTCATGAGATACTCTGTTAACAGACAAATGAACACACACAGCTAATTTCGTTAACGCCTGCCTTTCCTAATGCCAGGCAATAAAAACTGTAAAACCTTGTTTCTGTACCGTTGCAGCGATATTTCAGATTAGACCAGATGATGTTTTCCTGCGAGAAACAGAACACGCCAAGTCGTCCTCCTCTCATGGTTGTGTCAATGGTCACGCCAGAGTCTGCAACCAGTCCTGTTCCTTCATAGAATCGTACTCTGAACAGGACACGCAAAACAAAACAATTGTACACACATCTTTTAGATTACTGGTTGCCAGATAAGAGAATAGCTTTCATTTTCTTTTCTGCCACGCCAAAAACTGGAGAGATTAGGAGCAACCATCAGAAAAACAGGAAGTATTTCTGGTACCTGATGTATCCGATTTGTGGACGGTGCTGCAGGTACCAGCGGTAGGACACTTTATCCTTCCAGCCGACGTTCCTCGGGTCCTTCCACAGCAGACGCACCTGGTTGTTGGTGTCTCCCGTGTGCCACAGCGAGTTCCTTAAATGCTCACCTGGACCTGACTTAGATTTCACTGCCTGAAAAGTAAAAAAAAAAAAGGCAGAAAATAAATAAAAACAAGCAATTCAGTCGAATTTGCGTTATTACCTTCTTTATCACGATTCACGTATTTCACCTTAAGCTGGATGCCGGGCTCAGCCACAGCTCTGAAAGGTGTTGCCTGCCAGTAGGTTTGTTCCGTCTGTTTCCACATCACCACGTAGAAGGAGGATGAGTCCTGGTAGCCGAAGATGAAGCCGGCGTAGTCATCATCGGTGACTGTGTTTACGTGGAACGTCCCCTCAAAGTCAACGCCACTGAAAGCAGTGTAACCTGAAATCAAATCACATAAATGGCTGGGTTTTACAAAGAAGATGGATTTCATTAATGCTGAAGGTTTGTGTCTCTTACCAACAGCAAGTCCTGGGTCACTATTCATGGTCTGAACAATTTCCATTCCCTGTTTGAAAGTGAGAGAGATGATAATCTTGGTGCATTTAGAATACATGATAGGGGTAAAATACTGATACACTGACATATCACTATATTTCATTTCCTGATACTTATCAATACTGCATTGTGTTATTAATTAAGACTTGATGGATGGATGTAAGAAGATATTTGAAATTGAAATGCAGTTCTAACTGTAGTTCAGTGTTCTTCTGATTGCATGAAAATAAACAGAATTTAATCAGATTTTAAGCATGCATGATGTGAAATTTTATTAATTCACTCAGTAGTTTTTTTTTTGTGCAATTTTATTTCAATACAGCATCCAAACATATGCACACATATTCTAAATCTAAAGTCTCACCTGGTTCAGAACAACCCAGTTGGGGTCAATCTGAGCGTCCCCCTCAGGGTCCAGGACTACCGTCTGATAGGCCCTGAAGTCTGTAAGGGTAACCTCTGCGTTCTCTGGACAGTTGTCGATCCTGTCAATCACTTTGTCCTGGTCAAAGTCCGACTCACATATATCTCCAACACCGTCATCTGATGAGCGACAGTGAGAGCAGAATTTAATTGTATGAATGCTTTTAAAACATTCGGACTATTTAGATCATTTTTTTCATCCCTACGTTTTTTGGCATAATTCTCCCACTGCAATTTTTATGCTACTACAACAATTTTTGTATCAAAACATTCAGCTCCTTCAGAACATCCAGGCTATGACTTTTGGTACTTCAGCAACTTATACTTTTTGAGATATTTAGCTTATTCTGACATTTTTTTCCTCATTGAAAATTAATGGAGCTGTTGTCAACATGTTTAAAACCATTTAAAATGTTTATAAATCTTTACTGTACATTTTACCTTTTGTTCTCTTTGCTCTTCTTAACTTCCTTGTGCTGATTTGTGCCTCCCTCAGGTTCTATTTTGCTGAATTTAGCTCTTTTCTGCTTTTTTTTAGTTACAATTTTAATATCTTCTACAATTCTTTTGTTAATTTCTACGTTTTTCTATTTCTTGCTAATTAAAGCTTTTCATGCCTTTTAAAGCTGCTTTTTGCTGATTTATGCAGCTTTCAGTGTTTTTAGCTAATTTTTAGCTGTTTTTAATTCTGCATTAATAAGCTAATTTGAGCTCATGTTTTTTCAAACCTTTCATTATTAATCATTCACAATTCTTTTGTTTATTAAAGTTTCTGCTGTCTGCACTCTGATGCTGTTCTGAATCTGACAATAATAATAATTTATTCCTGAAGTGTGAAAAGGACAGAGTTTCTACACAACTATTTTAAGGGTGGGCCGGAACTGATAAGCAGCTAAGGTGACCCAAAGGTTCAGAACACAAAATAATTTTACAGAACGCAACCTCCAAGGAAAGTGCAGCATTTCATATGACAATAAAATACAAAGCACAATGGTATTGATTTGTGAGACATTCTGTTTCATGTTTTTTATGTGCTTCAATCCCAGATTTTTACAAATTTGTGTTTAAAATAAAATTGATAAATTTATAAATGCATTGATGTGGAGCTGTTTACTTTGTACAACAGCATCCTTTGGTTTTAATTTGTAAAAATGAGCAATAATTTATACGATTCATTAGAGTGTACAGCTTTACATCCATCTTTGAGACACAATCAAACTCACAGTTATTTACCAAACAAAAACACTTCCGACCCACTTCATTTCAACTGAGAGCCAGCTTCCCTTGAAGACCATTTAAACTGAGCAATGACACAGTGACTTTAAAAAAGTGCCAAAGAACTCGAGCACAAAAAATTGTGCTTTTACTCAAAGTGCCTGATCTGTGTGGGCACAGTCAACAGTCACTTGTCTCATTGCCAAAACAATAAGTTGCTTTCACTGTTTGATGTTACTTTTAGCCAGAAACTCACTGTTGTCATCAACCTGTTCAGGGTTCGGCACCAGCCTGCAGTTATCTGGTCCTGGCGGTAAAATATCCGGAATCCCATCGTTGTCGTCGTCATCATCACATTCGTCTCCCAGCCCGTCTTTGTCACTGTCCAGCTGGGAGCTGTTGATCACCAGAGGACAGTTGTCCTTGGTGTCCTGGTGACCATCACCATCACTACAGGGGAAAAATTGACGCAATGATGAAAAATAAACAGAAAGTACCATCAGTGCAGGTGTGACAATGTTTATTACCTGTCCTGGTTTGTGTCGCAGGAGTCTCCAACCAGGTCGTTATCTATATCGGACTGAAAGGAAGCAGAAAGTTATAGTGCCGCAAAATGAAAGGTTAAAGGTCAGCATGGTAAATCTTAGCACTCAATGGACATCTTTCTGAAAACGTCTGTGTTTTGCAGTAAATGAGAAACTTTAACTGATTAAGTCTCTTAAAAACATTTAATTATGAATGAACTGCATCTGTCTAACATTTTAAAATGAAACATTAGTTTATTTTGTGTCTTTTGGGCACAACATGTTATTTAATCTTCTCTTTAAGCTCAAAATATCAAATTTTAAATCAACTATTACATGTAAATACTGCCCTTTTTTAGTATTTAAAATAGTGTAAACCAAATCTGCAGCAAGCTGTCAATACAATTCAAATACATAAATACTTAAAGGGATATTTCACATCTTTTGATGAGGGATTCTTTCAAAAGATGGTGACCAATTAAATCCAGCTTCAGATTTTAGATTCAGAGCTTTTTCTGTCCCCCAAAAGCAAAGGTTAATTTTACTGTGGTAGTAAAACAAAAAAATGGTATTTGGTTTTAGACTGATTGCACAAAGACATACGAGTTTTAGAAGAAAATATATTCTTTAAAAAGAAGGTAATTAAGTATTGACTGAGCTTTCTGCAAAAACCTGTCTTTTAATAAAAATATTAGTATTAATACTTTAGTAATAATAACCCTTTAATTTTGAATTACATTGTTATTCACACAGAAATCGTGTGACAGCAAAAGAAATGCTACAACTAGCTGCTGCTGCTGCCGCCACTATAACCGTAGAGCACAATATAAATAACTACAATGTAAAGCTTACAGAAACATAAAAGTTACACATTGTTTTTGGACGGGCTCAAACTAGTCATTAACTCATCAGTCTTATCAGAATTAGCCTATTTCTTCAAGCTGAAGAGCTGTTTGCAACACATCAGATGATAAATGCTTGGAACATTTCCACAACAAACAATGTTTAAAAACCTGAACTCTGAAATCTGAACTTTGGTTCAAAGTAAGAGTAATGTGTTGGTGAACTTTTAGTTATCCATGCGACTCTGAGTGACCTGGTTTGGGTTGGGGATGTCAGGACAGCTGTCGCAAGCGTCGCCCACTCCATCTCCGTCTCGGTCCCGCTGGTCTCTGTTTTGGACATATTGGCAATTGTCCAGGAAGTTCTTCAGACCTGCCCATCAATCCCCCCCAGAGTGAAAAATTAGCATCATTTCACAACTTAAATCCCCTAAAACCATCTTTCCAACATTTGCATGACAAGAATCTGTTATTTTTTTCTTTTTTTAATCTGAAAGGTCGACAGAATAGAATAATTCTGTAAACAAATAAAGTTTCAATCTTAAAAAAACACTGTAAAACATTGTTTTAGTTTCCAGTGAAGGAAGCATCAAACGGTGTCTGACTGAGCTGATGTTGTTTTGGAGTTGCACCGTTAGGGTGCACTGTTGCATTTTCTGTGAAGCTGAGAGCAGGTTTGCATACTAACGGTATTTTCATTCATCACAGGGAGGCAGTAGCTGCACCACAAACGCACAAAGGTCAAGCAGCACGAACAGCAGCGGTAGATGAGGAGCTCTCTCATGTCCTGTGGGGATTTTTGAGGTGTAATCATACCGGTATATGATCAAAGAGTGTTTGCTCTGGGGTCAGCCTGATATTGGATTTTTTTCCCCACCCCTTATTATTTTGCACTGCTCTTCTGCTTCGGCTTACATATAAAAACCCATTTATACTTCTACACAGAAATACCTTTAAACAGCATGATTTAGACAAACTATAAACCCTCCCTGCATGATTTATTTATTTTTCATAATTTATGGCGAGAACATGAAAGGAGGAGAACATTGAGAGCCTTCAGTGATGGTGGTTACATAACGAGAGCGTCAGTGTCGGTGATGTAACTTCTTGTCGTACCATCTCCATCCATGTCGTCATCGCAGGCGTCACCTTTGCCGTCGTCATCAGTGTCCCTCTGGTCAGCGTTCTCTGTCAGACGGCAGTTGTCACAAGCATCGCCGTGGCTGTCTTTATCACTGTTCCTCTGGTCCACGTTGGGCTTATACCGGCAGTTATCCTGAGACAGACACAGGATCAGTCTTAGTCCGTTCATGGCAGTATAAGTTGTCAAATTTGACTAACTATTAGTCAGTGGTGAGCACAGCTTACCAAGAAGTTAGCTTCACTAACCTCTAAACAGATTAACCTCTAAACAGATATTTTAAGGGATGCTAACGTTAACCGTTAAAACAACCGTCTTCATCTTACTCTGATGTCTTGTAGTCTTTATGAAACAGTGATTTAAATACACTACTTTTTTTCTTTTTACCAGACACATTAGGTGTATTTGCACAAAGTATCTGTATTGGATCAGTATAGCTGATACCAGTCTGAATTTTACTCAATTTCAGAATCAGAAAGGAAATCGGTAAAACTGAAAACTGGTGGGACTAAAACAAACATGTTGGTAGTTTTCTGTTGGTTTAATTTGAAGGTGGGTGGGATCATCTGTGGCCTGCCAATCCAAATCAGAGTTATAACCCTGTCTAACCTAGAATACTTCCAGTTTAACCCTGTCAGAATAAAAGCACTTTTTGATTGAGCTAGTATTTTTATTAATACTATTTGAAGTTAGTCAAACAACAAATAGCAAATAGTTTTTCTACCATATTTTATACATAGCCAATTTTTGCATGAATATTGTTAAATGCTATTTTATTTCTTTTTGATGCTCTTACTTTGAAGTTTAGCTGCTAAAGATGCTACATGCTACACACACTATAATACACTGCTTGTAAGAGTGGATAGTTTTGATTTATTTTGGCATAAACTGCATAAAAATAGAAGTTTATCACTTCAGAAAATTTGGTCCACTAACGGTTTCCAAAGTTAGGAAAAACGCTAAGATAAAATAGATACAGTAGATAAGATAAGATAAAACTTTATTGTCTTTTCCTGATGCATATCAGTAATCCAGGTAGAAAAACAAAAGTCCTCTGGGTGGGTTCTTCATTAGTGAAACGTTTCGTCTCTCCTCCAAGAGACTTCATCAGTCTGAGTTTCAGTTGAAACTCGGCCTTACAAGCACTGCCTCCACCTGGACAAACAGGCTAGTCACATGCAAAATAGGGCCATCGACTAACAATAGGCTTGATTAGCTGTATTGTTCATAGAGGGTCATGTGCCCCATCACCTAACCCGTGTCGTGTTATGTGAATGTAGTGAATGCAAGTGGGGTTTTTTAACATCCCCTTGTTTTTGTCCCTCTTTCCCTCTTTGTGTTCCGTCTTTGTGTTTGTGTTCCCTCTTTGTGACTTCATCAGACTGATGAAAGCTCTTGGAGGAGAGACGAAAACTTTCACTAAAGAAGAACCCATCCAGAGGACCTACTTATTTTTTTCTTTTTGATTTATTGTCATTGTTGCACTGAAAAGAACACTTCGGTCCACAGACAATGAACAACGAAATATTTTTGCAGCTCCCATAGTGCAATTAAATCAGAACATTATAAAAGATAAAATAAAGAGATAAAAATTGAATAAAAAAAGTAAGATAAAAATAAGACAAAATAAAAACCCTGTTAAAAAAGAAGCTAGTTCCGCTATTAGTGGATCAGTAAAACTGTGCCCACCACTGCTATTAGTAAACAACCAACCTGCTCATTTGGAATACTGTCCCCATCTGCATCATCGTCACAGGCGTCTCCCATACCATCCCTATCAGCATCTTCTTGACCGGAGTTTGGAACAAAGATGCAGTTATCCTGCAGAGACGCAACAGATAAATGAAGGTACTTCCTGTTTAAGCGAAGCATCATTATCTGATCTTTCCGTACCTTTTTACAGCTTGGGTCCTTGCATTTGAGTTTTTCATCAGGGTACCCATCAATGTCAGTGTCCTTCCCGCACAAGTATCCGTTGCCGGCCCAGCCAATTCCACACTTTGGCAACAAATGAAACACCTCACAGAAAGCGCACACAAATTCCCTTTTCCCACCCTCAAACGTGCGAAATGACTGCACAGACCAGAAGAGCGTGTGATTGGGCCATAAAATCCCACCTGACAGGAGATGGAGCCGTCTCTTTCTCGAACACACTGGGCATTGATGTCGCAGGGGTTGGTCAAGCTGTTTCCACAGCTGACCTCTGGCTCGCAGCCCTTCACTTGGTCCCCTGTGAAACCAGTCTTACAGCTGCCACAGTAAAAGGAGCCCTGAGGGGGGAAATTAGGACAGCTGTATTTGTGTGCCTTTCAAACAGTTAATAAAAAAAGCAATACAGCTGTAGTATAATGTCCAGCTTGAACACTCAGTACCTGCTGGACTGGACTTACCATAGAGTTGTGACAGATTGAGTTGGGAGTACAGCCTCCATTATCAAGTCCTTTGCATTCGTCGATATCATCACAGACCTGAAATAAATGCTTTTAAATGTAACAATGTTTTGTGACAGTTTTATTTAATCGTTTTAATTATAAAAGCCCTTGCTGCAAATAACAATCACACTTCCTGATTTAATTGCATTTACAGCATTTATACAGAGGCTATACATATTTACCTCCCTGATACATGTTACATTAGTATTTTCTACATAATTTGATTAAAAACATGGTGAACTTAATTTTTGTTCTTTGATTTTTTGCTGAGCTTTCTGGCTTCATTTTTAAAGAAAAGAAAAGTCTAACTACATGTTCATTGTTAAAATGGTAAATATGTTATTACCTTTTGTCTTGTAATCTGTGCATCATTCTTAATGATTTTTTCTTTATTGGTTGGTTCCTTTGTGATAATACATCACATACATACATTTTCTACTTATGTTTAGTAATAAATGTGAAATATAAAGTTTCGGCATCTAGCACAACAAAATAAAATAAAAAATACCATCAAATGAAAAAAAATGTAACCACTTAAAAGTTTCAGTTTAAATTGATTATAAACTCATCTGACTGCAGTTGCACACCTTTTTTGAGTTCATGTCCATTTCACATATTTTTAATCTTTAATAACATACAATGATTTGTAAACTACGGAGCCCGTGAGGGGACATGGGGGGATTTTTTTCTTTTGCGTTCCCTTGCAATACTTTTGCGTTACCTCGCAAAATAGTTTTACATTCCCACGCAAAAGATTGTTTTGTATATGAACTGAATTAAATCAGACTTTTATTTTGAAATATTCGGTTACCAAAACAGGATGTGTCGCCCCAAATTGAATTGATGTAGCGTGGCTGCACTGTGTTAAAATATCAGCATATGACATACTTCCATGCTTGGCTGTGTGATATATTCATTTTGAAGTTGAATTAAAGCAGTAGGCTAACTCGCTAATGGTGAACATGTGAATTTGTTAATAAACCGGCAGGCACAACAGTGATAAACTGCTTTTGTGAGGGAACACAAAAGGTATTGCAAGGTAACGCAATACTATTGTGTGGGAACGCAAAAGAAAAAAAATCTCCCATGTGCCCTTGCGGGCTGAAGCTTTTAAATTTATCATAACACAACATATTCAGTCTCTGGTCTTACTCAATATTTACTTTGTTAGGGTAGAGTGTTATTAAAAACTCAAAGGTTTCAAACATTGAATTCTTTCAGATTAGCCTTGGAACAAAATGTAGTTGTCAGGATTTTTCTGTGTTTAATCATTAGTTTAACCTTGGAACAAAATTCCTCAAAGTGTAAGGTTTTTCTGCTAGGGGTGCCACTGATGAAGAAATATATAAAAAATGTAAAATATGTCTGTAATTCAGGTTATAAAGAATACTGATACAAAGAATAAACTGTAAAAACTGGATGAAAAGAATGGATGTGGCCTCCAGGTCTGAAAAGAAAAGTGAATATGCTCACCAAACCTAGATTCAGGTAATAAACCGGCTTTGGTTTATTCTTTTATCAGTTGTTTTATTGGACACTGATTTTGTATGTGTGTGTGTGTGTGTGTGTGTGNGGTCTGGTGTCTGGACGCAACCTCTTCCCATTTTCTTAGTTTTGCTTCATTTCGTGTCCAGAATGAAAGCAAACAAAATTTAGATTTTAAAACCACATTTTAGTGGTCATACTTTAATGTTTCTCTCTTCACAGTGTTTGTCTTAGATACTGTTGCAACACAGATTTAAGTTTAATGCCCCCAAAATAACAATAAGCCTACATTGAAAGAGTCGTTTATAAAATACCCTGTTTGAGTGAAATCCTTTCTCTAATTATCTTGTTTTTTTTTTTTTTACCTGTTTGTTGGTCTGAGCGAACACAATGCCCACGCCCTCGACTGGCATGCCGATGTAGCCCAGTGGGCAGGCATCACACCGGAAGCCTGGTGCGGTGTTCACACACTTCACTCCGGGGAAGCAGGGGTTAAACTGGCACTGCAGGAAAGAGAGGACAGGAGTTGTGCTGAAACAGCAGAAATAAATGTGTTTCTCAAAGGGTTTCTCCCCAAAAGCTTTTTAGGTCTGATGACATTTTTGCTGCTGTGAGAAAGAAGTTGCTGAAAGGGCTGCGGGCCTCAGGGAGGAGGTGAGTACAAACAGGATGAGACAGACGACCAAATACTACATTTGAAGTTTTTTTTCTTCATATTGTCAAAACATCAACTTTTAACCAACACCTTTGCTTATATTTCATATTCAGAAGAGTGTTGAGAACTTGTGATCTTTTTAATGTTTTTACCAGATTTGTTTTTTACCTTAAAAAAAATAGGAAACATGAGTTTTCTCATGATTTCAGTGGTTTAGAAAACATTTAGCCTGAAGGTCTGGATATAAGCCTCTTCTATCTTGCTCATAGATATTTTGTTAGATATTTCTAAACCCAATAAATGCATTAAAAAATTCCAGTATTCCACATTATAAAAGTGTCCACTTTAATGTGTGAACATCCCTTGAAATGAATTGATGATGCTCTACTGAATCATTTTTTTCATCCAAATTCAAATTGTGGAATCTGAACCAGATGCTACAAACACATGTAGTCAATTTAATCATTTTACACCTTACGCATGTCATAAATATGGATGAAACAAGATGTCATCAGTTTTAATAAAACTTTAGTAAAGTTATTATTTATGCAGTTTAAAGCTAAAATTCATTCTCGCAAGGGAAGAGTGTGAAAACATACTAAAGTTACCTCATCTACGTCGTCACAGTTGTAACCATCTCCTGTGTATCCATCTGGACAGGATGCACACTCAACACCGGTGGCTGTCTCTACACACATGTCATCACGGAAACAAACACCTGTGGTACATCTTGGTTTCACCACCTCAGTACCACCAAGGCCTTAAAATACCAAGAAAAACAAATATAATTTTAACTAGAGATATGGCATTTTCTGTGTAAATGCAGTGTGTGTGCTGAGTGCCTTGTTGAAACTAGGTTATTAAAACTTAAAAAGGGAGAACACTGGTTAAAAGCTAAAAAGAACAAAACACTAGCTTAAAGCAAAAGGTAGCATATTGTTGGCTAAAAGCTAAAAAAAGAGCAAAAGGCAGTGGTGGACAAAGTACTCATCTCCAGTACTTGAGTAAAATTATTGATACTCGGGTCAAATCTGCTCAACCACAAGTAAAAGTTACTCTGTCAAAAATCTACTCAAGTTAAAGTCCTATCAATTGAAAGGATGTTTGGGGATGATGAAATTATTTTTCATGATGATAATGCATCATGCCATAGAGCAAAAACTGTGAAAACCTTCCTTGAAAAAAGACACATAAGATCAATGTCATGACCTGCAAATAGTCCAGATCTCAATCTAATTGAAGATCTTTGGTGGAAGTTGAAGAAAATGGTCCATGACAAGGCTCCAACCTGCAAAGCTCATCTGGCAACAGCAATCGGAGAAAGATGGAGCCAGATTGATGAAGAATACTGTTTGTCACTCATTAAGACTCATTAAGTCCATGCCTCAGAGACCGCAAGCTGTTAAAAAGCCAGAGGTGGTGCAAAAAATACCAGTGATGTGTTGGAGTGTTCTTTTGTTTCTTTTTTATGATTCCATAATTTTAGAGAGATTCCATATTTTTTCTCTCTGCTTGGTCTAAAAAATTAACGGTTACTGACTACCACATTTTTGTCTTGATTTCTTTTAGTGTTTCTTAAAGCCATAAAGTTGTCATTTGAAATGACTCTAGTTTTGTGTCATGTCTGTGATCTTCTTTTTTTTCTACAAAATTAAACAGCTTAATGAACATCCTCCAAGGCCGGTGGATTACAAAACTATGCTGAACCAAAGGTAATCAGTAACTAACAAGCTTTCTAGAAATGTAGTGTAGTAAAAAAGTACATTTGTCTTTGAAATGTAGCGAGTGAAAGTCATAAGTACCCCAAAAAATAATTACTCAAGTAAAGTAAAGATACTGAAAGAATGTACTTAAGTACAGTACTCAAGCAAAGGTACTCCACTACTGTCCACCACTGGCAATAGGCTAGCTAAAAAGAAAAGCACATAGAAATAGAAAATAGAAATAGAAAAAAAGATAAAGCTAAAAAAACACTAGCTAAATGTAATGCAAAAGGCTAGCTAAAAAATAAGCAAAGCAAAACAACAGCCAAAATGAGTAAAACTCTTACTAAAAGTAGCAAAAGCTAAAAATAGCTAAGCCCCAAAAGTAAAATGTAGCAAACATCTTGCAAAAAGGTAGCAAAACATTAACACCAGCTAAAGATTAGCTAAAAGCTAAAACAAAAAGCAGAAGCAAAAAGTAATGTAGAAAAGCAAAAATAAACCAATCGCTCTAAAAGCACATCTTAAAGAAATTAAGAGATTTCTATGTATTTCTGTAGGAAAATATTTGTAAAAAATTTAAATATTTACGAGTATAAAATGTACAAAATCTAAGTCCTGAATGAGCTAAACTATAACAGCACAAAGCATGCATAAGTACAATGAATTGCAATAAAAAAAATAATAATAATATGAAAAAAAAAACCCAACCAAACAAGAAAACAATATTCTTTATCCATGTCATTAAAATACTTTTTGTTGAGTGACCCTGACTGAGCATTACTGTGAGTGTTCTTACCACAGGCCTGACACTCAGAGATGGTGTTTCTAAGGAAAGAGGTTTCCTTTACCTGCAGGAGGAGGAAACATTAAGACGTTCATTTGCAGTTGGTTTGTCAGGCAGGGAGGTCACCGCTGAAGATGCAGGATTAAACAGTCTCAGAGGAACTGTTTGAAGTGGTTACCTGCTGAATGAGCACCTCCTTCAGCTCATTTATCACCTTTGTTAACTCCTGCATTTGATTAGACAGCTGCTTTGTGTTGACCCCTAAGAGAAAGAGACGGTTAATTTGGCTTAACTAAATCAGAGGCTGGTAGACTCTCAGAAGGTGTCTCATCAGCTCAGCATTGGATGCTACTATTTTATGGCTGCAAGTGTTATCTTGGGGAACATTCAGCTGCCTCGAAGGACGCTTATTTCCATTCAAAGAATCTTACCCAGAGTTTGGACAGAGTCTCTTTGCTGGAAATGACAGTCTTGTAACGATGCAACATTCTCAAATGAGTCCCCAACCACCAGTTTTAGCTCGTCTAAACTCTCCTGTTAGAATGAAACAAAAACGGGGATCTTTTTGTAAACCTGCGGAGGCTTCATCCAGACAGCAGCACAGCCATTATTGTACAGAGTTATTCTAAGTGACAGTTCACCTGCTCCCTGGCTTGCATAGTCTTCAGCGCCACCATGCCGTACCCTGCCGGCAGACCTTGGAAGGCGACCGGAAGCTCCCTGACCGTCTCTACCAGCCTGCAGTCCAGATGCAGCTCCACCCCGCCTGGCCCCGGCTGCTGCAGCCCCTTCAGGTGGAACAACAGGCGGTGCTGCTGGCCGTCTGCCAGCACCAGGTTGTTGAGGGTAATGGAACTCGTTCTCTTGTCGCTCCGCAGGTAACGTAACACGGCTGTGAGAGGACAAGGCAGAGCAGAAAACAGACGACTTACAGCAAACATCTACTCCAGAAGGTTTGTCTTAAAGTTTGCTATAGAATCGTTAGAACATAACATCTTTTTAAGAATTAATTTGCCCTATTTTTGACGCAGATTTCTAAAGTTGCTTAAATTAAAATTACCACACCTCCTTCATTTTGTTACAGCCTTATACAAACATGTTTTTAGACTCTGATTCTATGGTGATAGGTCAGAGACGTTCAAGTCAGGTTCTGTGGATAAGTCACGAACAAATAATGTCTTACCTGTTGTAGATGGTTCTTTGAAGGGTATTTATTTAGAAAAATAGAGTTTAAATCTCATTGCTTAATAACCTAGGTGAAAAAAATATACTAAAGTATATTTTAAATAGACTTCATTTTACATAATTTTTTTAAATATACTGTTAATAGAATATACT